CTTCTTCTGGTTGTATATTTTGATCTTCTTTGTCACCAAAGAAAGATTCTATGGTCTGACTTTTTTTGCACAGTTTTCTCATTTTCCCAGCCAATTACTTGACTATTAAAGCCTTTTTTAAGGTAGGGGTCTGCATACACTGTGGAGAATGTACTGTCCCAAGCTTCAGAGGTTTTGTGCAGCAGTTTTCAGAGATACTTCTAGGGACCTGTAAATTTTCAGTTCTTCCAAGGTGTTTACTCTTTCCTGGCCTGTGCTATGGTCTATGAGTGACCACAAGCACTCTTTTCTGCCTTGTGACTGTGAGGAGGATTCCCTCTTTATCACCACTACAAACTTCCCCACACCAGTGCTCCTCCTTGCCCCAGGATCGCCACTTGGAACTGTGACCCAGATCCAAGCATGGGCAAAGCAAGAGAATCCTGCCCCAGCACCAGCAAAGAGATCCTTGCAATCCCCCTCTGATCAGCCACTAGATTTCCCCCTCACTCCGTGGGCTGGAAGCTCCAGAAGAGCTGCCGCCCCAGGGCCACTAAGCCAGGACTGGGGCCAGAACAGGCAGAGAGGAAGGTGAGGGTCACAGACTTTTCCTGCTGACCTTCTAAGTTGTCTTTGGTGTTTGTGGGTTGAGAAGTCTGGAAACTATCACAGCTACCCGAGATTCATTCCCCTGAGGCCTGCTCCAGGATTGCTGAGGCTTGGTCTTTGGCTGTGTGCCCACACCAAACTGCATTCTCTCCCAGCCCAGCACGATAGACCTTCCTAATCAACCATCCAGGCTGTCTCACACTGGAAATTTGTTTCACTCTGTGTTTTTGTGGGTTTTGCTCCTCTAGAATTTGTTTAGAGCCATTTTTTTTTACAGGTATTTGGAGGGGTTTGGGCGAGAGCGCAAGCTAGTCACTGCTTTTATTCTGCCATCTTGGCTCTGCCCCATACTTGTCTACATTTAAAAAAAAATTCATTAACACATTTTTACGCCAAAATCTTTTATCATTCCATCTTTCCTTCTCTTATAATACCTAATCCTCTTTTTTTTCCCATTCACAGAGACTTCAAGTCCCGTGAGAACTTAGTTTTTTCCTAGGACATAACCCCATGTATTGGCTGTGCTTTCCTCCCTTCTCTACCTTGACATCTTGGTGAACAAGTTCTGTATGGGATTCCCTTTTTATTTCACTGATCGTGCCTTGCTATGCCCAGCTGTAGATTACTCCTACCATCCACAGCAATTTCTGGAGAAAGTCAGAAAATCATACTCGCTGGGTCCATTAACCAATTTATTTTCTATTATCCCAACTGGGCTCTTATTGCAACAAGGCATTTCTCTTATACCCCCTCAATCAATTCACTCTCACACTCCTCGCAGCTGCTATTACAAACATTTTTCTCTCTCTTCAAGACTTTGATGATACTCTATTTCCCACCCTCTAGGATGAGGACGTTGCTCATAATTCACTGAAAAAAAAGTTGAAGCCATTTGCTGAGAACACTATCTTCTCACTTCTTCTCTCTCCTAATTCACATCTGTCTAATCTTACCTCACTACAGTCCATCTTCCACTGTGCTGTTAAATTGATCTTCCTAAAGTACAGGTCTGACTATGTTACTGGCCTATTCAGCAAAATGCAGTGACTTCCTGTTACCTCGATGTCAAATATAAGATTCCCTGCCTAGCTTTTAAAGACCTTCTCAATTTGGTCTCTTCTTATTTTTTTTCATTCTTCTTATACTTTGCTCCCCAAAACTTAGTCTGTGATGCTGGGACCCCAGCTTCCTTGCTAATCCTTGCACAGTAGACTCTTATCTCTCCATGAGGAGCATTTGCTCTGGTTTTCTGCCCCCTAGGCCTGCAGTGCTCTCTTCTCATCTCTGCCTCCTGGCTTCCTTCCAGTCTCAACCAACATCCTGCTTTGTGCAAGAAGCTTTTCCAGTATGTCCTTCATCTTAAAACGAAACTACATGAGTATATGACTAATGTTTATTAATATTATCATAAAGCATGATGTATAGAGGTCAAGCAAGTACTGCACCTGTGGGTTTAACCCTTAGACATAACATTGATTTGCAACCTCCACTAGCCTTGTGAGCACATTGAGGGCAGGGTCTGTCTTTTGTTTTTTTTTTGGTATTCCTAGCACTTAACAAAATGCTGTCTAGTAGTAGTACCTACATAGTAGGTGCTTCATAAATATTTATTGACTCATTGTCTCTAACCTTAGACAAGTTACTTCATTTCTTTGAGCCTCAGTTTCTGCCATTGTCAAATAGAAATATTAACACTAAATAAGTTATTCAAAAGGTAGTTTGTAAGGTAACCATTTTGTAAAATTTCAAAGCTGTTATAATAGGGAGGTCTATTATTATTTTTCTCTTCAAAAATCTCATAGTATGGGGAATTGCAAAATTTATTAACAAACAGGGAATTATGAAATTTATTAAATTATTTCTCATATTTATTTGTATTATAAAGTGCCTTTTAAAAATGTCTTCATTCATTGAGATAAAAATCATAATTATCCCAAAATTCATGTTATTTTGTATTTAATTTAATTCAACAAATGTTAATTACTCATTATGTTCAGAGCACTGTGTTAAGCACTGAGAGAGGGGCAAAATTTAGTTAAGTTATAGTTCCTACCCTATTGGACTTTAAAATCTACTGGGAAATATGATACATATAAGAAACAATAATATAAAATATTACATGTTAAATGCTTGATAGAGGTGCAGAATATTGCGTAAGGTCTAGGGGCAGGGGAAGTATTGTCATTACTGAGAAGGAGGATCAGGGAGGGTTTCTTGAATAAGTAGCAATATTTTAGGTGAGTAAGAATTCAATAGATGATGGAGCCATAGCAGGCAGTCTTTTCAACTTTTCTTATCAATGAAGTAAAATGGTTTAAAAACAAAAAATCTTCAGTAGAAATGTGGCATTATCAGACTCTTTTGATGAAGGCCTAAAATGTGAGTCCCTTGAGAAAAGCCTATTCTTTGGAGGTTCTATATAGATCTAATTGTGTGAATGTACTGCATCTCTATTTATAGAATGCAAGTAGCAAAAATATATTCTTAGTGGCTACAGGTAAAGTTCTTTATAGAACTTGAGCTTATAGTTTCAGAAAATCCAGAAGTTTTATCATTGTTCCTTGAATTTTTATGTCACTCTTTGGAGGCATAGTAGTTAAAACATTGTTAGAGTCTAAAAGGGGGAAGGGAATAAGCATTTGTACAGTGCCTACTATGCACCAGATACTGTGCTATTCACTTTTTACAAATATCTCATTTATCAAGCTGAATTTGAATCTTGCCTCAAACACTTAATAACTATGTGACCCTGACAAATCATTTAACCTCTCTCAACCTCAATAAATAAATGCTATAGGGTTTGTTAGTATAAAAGTTAGTTATTTGTTCATAAAGTCTTCCCAAATTTATGTAGCGAGAAAAAAGAAGATCCTTTGGAAAACAATTTGGGAGTATACTAGAAAAACTTGATACTTTTTTGACACCTCAGTTCTCCCTACAGGGCATTATGTCCCAAGGAGTTTAAAGACTGGACATAAAATAGGGGAATAGCTAAACACATTATGGTATATGAATGTAATAAAATATTACCATGCCATAAGAAATGACAAAAATGAATTAAAAGAAACTTGGGAAGACTTTGTGAATAGATTTATAATAAATTATTAACAAATATAATCATAATAATGATACATTTCTAGCAAAGCTACAGAAAGATTCAAACCAAAGCCCTTTACAACATGGTTTGATCCTTTCTTTACAGCCTAATTATACATTATTCACCTTTAAGGTCCAACCAAACTGGCCTTCTCCCTGTTCTTCTTACATGTCACTCCCATTTCCTACTTCTCTGACCATCCTTCATCCCTGGAATTTGGATTTATTATTTTTATGGCTTAATAATATTGCATCATACTCATGTGTCACAATTTATTCAATTTTTCTCTAGTCCATTATCATTTATTTCCAGTTTTTTTTTTGCCTTGACAAAAAGAGATGCTATGACATTTTTGTCGTATAGAAGACCATTTTTTAATTCTTTGTTTTTCCTTTCCAGTGACCTTTATTCATGTATCTAGTAGTGGGATTTATGGACCCAAGAGTATGAAGAATTTACTGACTTTCTCAATGTGCATATTTTGCCCTAACTCATGATTATTCAGATGTATGCCATTTGTTCAGGGGAAAAAAAGGTTATTTTTTCCCCCCTGCATTTGTGAAACCTTAGCACCTAATATCTTTTTAGATCAAATCATTGAAGTTAGAAAGAAAAATTAAACATATCTAGTTTAAGGCAAGTCAACTTAAGTTGACCTTGAAATATGTTGTGAACTGGATTACCTTCTGTTTTGCTAGTTTATCTTGAAAAAGCTGCTAGAAGACTAGAAAACAAAGTAAAGTTTAGTGTTCAGGAAGTATGGTTAACCTTTTGTAACAGGATGCTATTATTGAGAAGTTTTAGTTGAAGTTTGTATAATCAGAAGTTATACTATAGTGATATTTTGCTTTAAAAATACTGTCATATATGTGTAAAAGACTAGTTTACAAAGCACTAAATATCATGTGAAGTAGGCAGGGCTAGTATTTTGTCTTTCTCCCTTTTTTTAAGTGGATCTATGATTTAATCAACGTAGAAAGCTTCTCCTGAGGATTAGAATCTAATCCATGCATATTGGTACCTTCTCAGTAATTTATAATCTTAGAAAGTTCCCCGGGGCACTGAGAGATTAAATGACTAGTCTGGTGCCTCACAGCCAGGATGTATCAGAGGCAAGACTTGAACCTGGATATCCCTGAGGTCTCCTGTAACCCATACACTGCTGTTCTGTGTCTTTCGTTGAACTTTTAAACAATGAGCAAACCGAAGTCACCAGCCTAGTAAGTCACAAACTCATACTTCAGTGCGCTTTCCACAACACTGTACTGGTGGAGAGCCAAGCTCCTTTTTAGCTTAGAATTCTTTCTTTTTACAGATATGGACACATGCTGATTAAAAGAATTTCTTACAACCAGTGGAGCAGTTAGTGCTTTATGAAGATGGGATTTGGAAGTGACCTGAAGAATTCACACGATGCACTGTTAAAATTGCAAGATTGGGAATTACGACTCTTGGAAACAGTCAAGAAGTTTATGGCACTGAGAATAAAAAGTGATAAAGAATATGCATCTACTTTACAGAATCTCTGCAATCAAATTGATAAGGAAAGTACCGCCCACATGAATTATGTTAGTAATGTATCTCAGGTAAGAAAACAGTTTTATTGTCTTAAAAGTATTTAAAATGTTTTAAGTGTAATAATTGTACTTAAAGCTAAAAGATCCCATTTTAACAAATGGATCTTTGTTTTTTCATCTCTTATAATATATTTATTCTCTGGTTTGTTGAGCCCTACTGCTATTAGATTCTGATATATTTATACATTATACCTAGGCTTTTTGAAAGACATAGTATATTGATTATAATTTTAGTGTTGTACATTCTTTCAGTCTATTAGAGTAGAGATTTCTTTTGCTCCTAGATCAACTATACTATGAATCTATAATAGTATATTGATGAACTGTCTAAAGTTGCTAAATAAATTAAGAAAAAAAATTGTTTTATAACTTGAGGTCATATTGTCAGGTAAGAGCCAGGACCAAACCTGTACTTGTACTTGAATTATTAAAATGTGCTTTAAAATTAAAAAATATTAGAGATGAAATTTGATATCAGATTTCCCAAGTTTTACATTTTTCACCATTTATTGTGATATCAAGTTTAGTGATAGTTTAAACATAATTTAAGTAAAAAAAATCAATTTGAAAACATTTGAACACTTGAAAACAAACAGTTCATTGTCTTGGTAAACAGATAGGACTTGTGTATGTCTACTTATAGAAACTACCATTTTACATATTCATATATGAGAGAGATTTTTATTATTTTCTACATGGAAACAGAACGCCATTATGCCCAAACATTCTCCTCATGATTTAAGAGGTATAGGTTTCTGCGTACAAAGGCTCAGACCCAATAACTCCAAAGTAACCTAATTCTTTCTGCCTGATTATTAAGATTATGAAAGTATTTCAGCTGAAGGGGTCTGTAAGCATCAGGTGAAAGTGTTTGGGTGTTTCTGGCTGAGCTACTATGTCATTTCCATTATGCTAAAGGGTTTGGGCCAGCCTTAGAAATTAAAAAAAATTCTTCAGAAAGACTTTGCTTTCAGCCAATAACTGCCATCCAGTGTTTTGACTCTGTAGGGGAAAACTGGCACAGCCTTTAGACATATTTCATGCACAGCTAATTAAGAAAGCAAGGGGTCATTTCACTTAATACATTTATTCATGCATATAACCTTTTAAAAAAGGTTTTATTGAGGTCTTTTGTTTTTACATTAGTCCTTTCCTGAACTGTTGCTGAACTTTTCCTTTTAACAAAGAAAGGTTAAAGCAAAACCAAACTTACAAACTGACTGTGCTTGTTAGTGACCTTCTCCTCTAGTCGTCCTCTGCCTCTTCCAGGATGAGGACAGTGTTTCATCCTCTCTTCTGGGGGACCACGTTTGTCACCACAATTAGTCTGACTGAGGCTGCCTTTAATATTGTGTGTATTGCATTATTGGAGTCTCTGTGCATAGTACTGCCTTGGCTCTGCTTATCTTAACTCTGCATCAGTTCACACTAGTGTTCGGACATTTCTCTAAAATCCTAATTTGCTATTTCTTATTGTAACATTCACATACCATATTTTGTTCAGTCATTCTCCATTTAGTAGCTGCTTTGTGTTCATTTTTTAGTTATAACAAATCATTCATGCATTTTATAAAAATAACTGATTATATATTTTATCTTATATATATCACATAAACTAATTTTCTTTATTCTTCTAAACTACAAACTATACCATTTAAAACAAATACTAAAAGAAATTTAAAAACAAAAACCAGAAACCCCCCAGATAACACTTTTATAAGACCATAGGATTTAGAGGTCGTCAGCAGGCAATCACAACTTCACAAAACTTATGTGAAAATTAGGTTTATTACAAGAGAAATGAACATTTGTGTGGACCCAAGGAGTTCACAATTCATACAGAAATTTGCATGTTTATAACAGAAAAACAAAGGAAGGGATACCAGAAATCTCCACTGCAAGGGGAATTGCATGAGATGGGGAAAGGTGCAGTAAAGGTGGGAAAAGGACAAAACCTCTTGTGAAGGGGGTGGGGAGCAAGGCGGTGTCAAAAGCTGCACTCTTTTCTGTTGTGAACTGCTAGAATATGAAGATAGAATGATCTGTTTATTATCTACATGGTTCCCAGTTGCACAGGCAATTTCTCAGCTTTGTGTAGACTGACTGGAGCCTGTCTTGACTTCCAAGTACACATAGGGAATCCAGTTTGGGATGGAAGCAATACATTGCCGGGGGGGATGGGGGGCTTCATCCTTGATACATTCAGGACCTCCTGTATGCTCTGAGTCCATTGTTTCTGGAAGATAGGGCAACTCAAAAAGACACATTCAGGGGACCCTTTAACAGTAGGATGAGGAAGAAATAGTGCATGTAAGAGCCACCAGAGAGAATGCAAGAACTCTGCTAGCACTAAGACAAGAACCCCTTAACAATCCTTAATAAAGTATGAAGGACTGCAAGAACATCTAATCAAGCCCCTTGGTTTTACCGATGAGTATACAAGTTCAGAGAGATACAGTTAGGTGGCACCATAGTGCACAGAGTGTTGGGCCTGGAGTCAGGAAGACCTGAGTTCAAATGTGGCCTCAGATGCCACTAACTTTATAACCCTGGGCAAGTCACTTAACTTCTCTTGGCCTCAGTGTCCTCATCTGTAAAATGGGAATACTAATAGTACCCATGTCCTATAGTTGTAAGGATTAAGTGAGATAATAATTTTTAAGTTTGTGGGGTCCAAAAATATTCATTCTGCAAGAAAAACCACTGAGACAGATTTCTGAGCCAACAACCATTTATTAAAAGAACTGGACTCCTTCAATGAATGGGACTTCAGAACTTCCTCACAATCTGAGGTAGTCCTTTTCCCTAGGGCCTTACTTTTATAGTACTTGATGCCCAGACACACAGAAGAGCCAAGATAAAATACTAAGTCTCCTTGTTTGATAGACTTGATCTTGACCATCCAAGAGGGTGATCCATCCAAGTGATGCATCAGCATGAGTGGTCACTGAATGGGCAATCGAGGGTCATCACTGCTGACTAAGTGGTTATAAGATGGTACCCTCATGGTGGGCAAGAGAGGGTGGTCTGGACATACAAAAATAAGTTGGAGCTTTGCATGTCATGTTGAGACATCCCACTCACCCTATGCTTGGTCATTCACTCATCACCTAAAAGGGTGGAGGTCCTTCAGTCAGTATTCTTGTGGTTAGGCAAGTGAACTTTATTACAGGTTTGTGAACAGTGAACTGATAGCTTGTAGTTTAAAGTTTGGGACCTATTTCTAATTATCTCTAGGTATAATATATGTAAAATATGTATTTGTAAATGTAATTCTTGCATTAATGTTAGTTAATTAGACTGACTAGGAAAAATATAGGATGATAGCTAGTGAGGATAGATAAACTGAGGTTTTTTTTTTTTTTGAGGATAAATGAGATATGGGCATGTTTGTATACAACAGGAAGACAGCCAGGAGGTAAAGAATGAAGATACAGGGAAGAATAGGAATGATAGAGGAGGCCATGTGCTGGAGAAGCCAGTATAGAATGGGGTTTACCTTGCAAGGAGAAGGGTCACCTCTTCATGTAAGACAGGAGTGAAGAAGGAGGTATTGGCAAAAAGGTTCTGGGTGATATGAAATGAGGAGCAGGGGAAAGGGAACTCTTGGCAAGTGGCCTCAGGTTTTTCCATGAACTGTGGAGCAAGGTTTTCAGCTGAGTGAAGGGAGGAGAAGCCATGGGAAATTGGAAGGGAGATGAAAAGAGATAGTGATGGGATAGGGACGTGAAAAAAGGATTTGGCCTACATTAGGGAGGACCCAGTTAAGATTATATAGTGTTCGATTTTATTTGACTCAGTCAGCAAGTTTTGTGATGTTCTTCAGCTTCTTTCGATAGCATGGTGAAGTGTGAAGGCATATTGGTAGTGAAGCCAATAGATGATGGGAATGATTGGTTAAGTCTTGGTAGAGCAGTATTGATGATAGGGACTTAAGAGAAGAGGACAGTATGGACTTGAACTGGTTCATTAGGGGTTCAAGATGGGGAAGAGAAGAGAGTCTGGCTAATGCAAAGTGATAGCCTAGGCAACAACCAAGGGGTGGAGGGATTGGAGATCACTATGAGTATGAAGAGCAAGTTTTGGTGTTGTAAAGCAGAGGTAAAGGTGAAATGGCAATAGATTATGATCTGGTGAAAGAATTTAAAAGGTTACAAACATGGATATGGTTTAATTTTGAATGCTAGCAAGATCTGTGTTATGACTATCATCTCTGTGTGTAGTTGTGGTGGAGTAGAGGTCATGCAAAATCAGTAAAAGAAGGAAATGGGGGGTTAGGATGTATGAGAGAGTATCAGTATGTATGTTGAAGACCCTTAGTACAAGGGTAGCAACTGGGGAGGAAAGATTGTGAGCCAGGCACTGACCTCATTAAATAAAGAAGGGGAGTCTCTTAGAGATCTGTAGACAACAGCTGTTAGAATTTTGATTGGATAGTAGTTATAGATTGAATGAACCTCAAAGGAAGAATGTTTACTGAGTGAAGACAGCAGAGGAAGATCTTGGAAGTGGCAGTGGGGAGCAGGAGTATTCCATCTCTCCCACCAGGAGAATGAGTGAAAACCGTTACTGGAAATGGTGGCTGGAAAGATGGAATAAGTGAGAAAGGAACAAATTTAAGATGAAAGCAAGTATTCCAGGGAACACAATGGTTAGTTAGATTTAGAGTTGGGCACTGAGCGAGCAGTTCCCCATTAGATGTGATTGAAGGATTTAAACAGTTCTCAAAAGAATTGAAAACTATTAATAACCTTATGAAAGAATGCTCTGAATCACTTTTAAGAAGAGTTATGCAAATCAAAATAGCCTTGATGCTTCACCTCATACCCAGCAAATTTCAAAGATGATTGTTGATAGACAGGCACACTTATGAAGGTTTGGGGCTTTGAGTTGGCAGAACCATTTTGGAAAGCAATTTGGAATTAAACAAATGAAGTGAAGACAATGCCTTTATCTTTTGACCTAGAGATTCCATTGCTGGGCATATGTCTCAAGAGCTTGTTGACAAAAAGAAAGGCTCTGTATACATGAAAACATTTATAGCACCTCTTTTGTAGTACCAAAGACCTAGAAACCAAGTAGATGTTATATCTATTGATTGGGGAATAATTAAATGAATTGTGTTATGTGAAGGCAATGGAACATTATTCTGCTATAAGAAACAGTGAGGATGTGATGAATACAGAGAACAATGGGAAAATGAGAGACTTACAAGAACTGATGAAAATTGAGCAAAATAGAGCCAGTAATACGGTGTGACAGGACAGTAATATAAATAGAAAGAACAACAGTAAAACAATGGAAACTCATATTGTAAAAATATGAAGAACAAGCCGACCCCCAAAAGAAATATTAGAAGATACATCCCCTTGTTCCTTTGTAGAAGTCAGAGTCCATAGGTGTGGAACACTGTATATAATGTCAGATTTTTTCAATAGGTTTATTGATTTTGCTGAATATTTTTCTCTTCTCCCTCTTCAACATACATACATATGTGTGTGTGTGTGTGTGTGTGTGTGTACACATATTTGTTATAAAGGATAGCTCTTGGGAGAAATGTGTGGGAAATCTAGGCTGTATAAAAATAAGAGATTAATAACAGTTTATTTGAACAAAAAAATAGAAGAAGCAGCTCAAGTAAGTGAGAATGTTTATAGCAACTCTTTTTGCTGTTGCAATGAACTGGAAACTAAAGACTTACCTTTCAGTCGGGAAATGGCTGAAGAAGTTGTAGGATATGAATGTATGGGAATATTATTGCATTGTAAGAAATCACTAAAGGGATACTTTCAGAGTAAACTGGAAAGGCTTGTATAAACAAGTGAGCAGAAGCCAGATAACAGTTTACACAATAACAACAACATGTTAAAAAAACAAAAAAAAAACTTTGTTCAGTACAGTGAACTAACTATGAATCCAGAGAGCCTCTGGTGGAACATGCTACCAATTTCTTGACAGAGATGATGAACTTAAAAGTGCATTATGAAACATGTGTTTCTGGACATGTTCAGTGTGGGAATTAGTTTTGATAGTGTATACTTATTATGTTTTATTTTTCCTGTTCCTTTTTATATGCGTGAATATATGTGAGAGAAAGGATTAAGGGAAGCTAATAAGCTTGCCAAAAAAAAAATAACAGAAAAGACAGATGAGAGAGTCATTGAAGCAATTTAAAGATGCATAGAAGAGAACAGAAGGAAACTCAGTCCAATAGGACAGCCTCGAAACTTATATTTTAATTTATTATATATGTAAAAATATAAGCAAACTATATGTAATAGAGATTCAAAATTTCATGTACAATCTAATTTTTCCCTCTTACTTTGCATATGGAAATTCCCATTTTATTTAGTTTTTGTTAGGTTCAAAATTAAAAAAAAATATTTAAGAACCCAGGCCATCCTTTTCAGGGAAGTCATTTCTTCCTTAATGATCTGCTTTTGACAACTTCGCTTATCACACCATGATACTAATTAAATAAAGTAGAGACCAGGGATTCAGTGGTTTAGTAATGCATTATATTTGGCTGGGTATCTGACCAGATCTCTAATATGTAAATTTTAAAGTCAAATATCAAGTTCCCCCTGGTTTGATGCAAATAGAGTAAAATAACTCAAGTGTAAGTAGGAACCTAGTAGTCTTAATTTCCATTTTTCTGATTTTTAAAATCATAGTATTGCATTTTTAAAAGTTTATATATCCTAAAGCTATTTTCCAATAGATTCATTATATTCTTTATGCTAGGCACATATTAGATGTTTCATGGGATCAAAGGTCATATATTTAGAGTAGGAAGGATCTTAGAGATAATCTGGCCCACCCAAATAGAGGTAGTAAGTAGAGGAGATTGAATTTGAACCCAGTTACCATGAATTGTAATTGAATTTAATTAAATTAGAGATATCCTAAAGCAGTGTGATATATTGGATAAAGTGCTAGACTTAGAGGCAGGGAACTTGAGTTCGCAGGAGACTTGTCATAGGCAAGTGCGTATTTAATATCTCAGAGCTTCATTTCCCTCAAATCTGAAATAGAGATAATAATACTTGCTCTATACTCCCTGCCCCGCCCTCGCCCTCCTCCCAGTAAGATTTTAGTGCTTGGGAAAACCTTAAAAGTTATGTATAAACAGGAATGTTTATTATTAGGTGTGAAGACAAGATTTCTGAAAAGAAGAAAACCTCATGATTTTTGTTTTATTGTTTAGTTACATTGATTGGCATTTTCACTTTTCTTTTTATACCTGTTTATAATCTATACTGTAGGGGCAGCTGTGTCATAGAGGATAGAGTGCTGGCCTTGGAGCCAGGCAGATCAAGATTTAAATCCCATCTCTGAGTCATACTGACCTAGTGACCCAGGGCAAGCCACCTAACTTCTCTTTTCTCTGGCTAGCTAAGAGTATAAATTGTAGACAGGGTGCCAATCTATATTAGTATGAGATGTTTTCTCATCTGGGAGTTCTCTTCTACTATAGAAATACATCACAAGTTCAGTCCCAAGCCATATACGTTTAACCGAGGATAGAAGGGTTCTTTAGATTGCCAATCTGACTTTGTTTCCATTATTTGTGTTAGGTTATGATGAGCCAGCAGCACCTGTGAATTTTGAATTGTAGATAGATATTTTTATTTGTTTCTGAGTTATTCCTCTCTTGGTGTAGCTCCTTTTTGAATTCTTAGCATGTCATTGATCTATCTTTGAAACAAAAGGTGTTTTGATATAGGTCATTAATATCTAACAGAACCATACTAGAAAGCTACACTTTTTTATTGAAAATCTTGTCTATATTAAAAATATTTGCTTGTCCATTTAAATTAGATGGGACTTCTGATATATTTCTTTTTCATTTATTATTTTTGTCTAGACTTGGCTACTAATGATTCAACAAACAGAACAGCTTAGCAAAATAATGAAGACACATGCAGAAGACCTTAACTCTGGACCATTACACAGGCTCACCATGATGATCAAAGATAAGCAACAAGTGAAGAAGAGTTATATGGGTGTTCACCAGCAAATTGAGGCAGATATGTTCAAGGTATATCTTTTAGCCATAACTTTTATTCATTTGTCTTTTATCCTTATTGGATGTTTTTGTCATCTTTTTGTAGCTTTTTTAATTGGTTGTTTTTCTTAGACGAATTAAGCTTTTTGGCTTGGTTGGGTGAAGAGTTGTTTTCTGTAATTAAAATGAATGATTTTTTGAATTAGTTTGCTTTAATTATAAAAAGTATTATCTCTGCAACTGGCAAATAAAAGTCCATTAACCTTCAGATTGTGGAAAGAAATTTTTTATTTACTTTTGTTGAATTTATCAATTAATATCTCAATTCATTGAGGCTTGAAGTTATTTTAAATTGGTTGTCCACCAGGATAGTTTATAATTGCATATTAAAGAAGAGTAATTAAATTATGTGTCTGATTTCTAGGGCTTAAGAGTTAGTTGAGAGCCACGTTAGGAAGACTTGGGCTCAACTCCTGCTTCTGACATGTTGATTCCATGACTGGATAAATTGCTTAAACTCTCAGTACCCCCAGGAAACTCTTTTAACATTATAAATTGCAGAATATTTCTTGATTGGTATTGGTAGAGGGAATTTCATAATCGGGAGTGCCTTACAATAATGAAATCACAGGTTTGTATTAAAAAAATAAAAGGATTAGTTACATGTTTAAATTATCTGTCCAAATATATTTTCTGCATTTGCTTCCTTTATAGGTCACAAAGACAGAATTGGAGAAATTAAAAACAAGCTATAGACAATTAATAAAAGAAATGAATTATGCCAAAGAGAAATATAAAGAAGCTTTGGCTAAAGGTATGTGTAGCAGTTAGTGAATTAAAATGTTGATTTTTAATGATTCTTATTCTTGCCATTTGAGTGTTAACTTTATAAGCAGACTAATAGTTTTACTTTTCACAATTCACTTGAGTGTGGAAACAAAGTACAAAGAAATGGGGGAATAGATAAAATATAGAATCATTCTTATGACTTGTTATATATTTTACTTTCTCAGAACATTATTGCATATTTCTTGGTATGTAAATATTCTTACATAATGTGAAAAAATTTCCTTTAAGCCATTTTCTGGCTCAGTAGATTTTTATGAATAATAAATGGAGCATTATGTATTTGTTTAGAGAACTATATATTTTTTCTTTTTTACCTGAAGTTTTCAAAACATAACCATAAAGTCATTTCACGGAACTTTTCTGAGATTAGGTTATTTAAGATCTCCCTTTGGGCTTCTGATACTTTGGGTATTTTATATTTTTGAAGGCATTCCTCTAATTCTTTTGTGTCTTTAGTTTTGTTAGCATATACCTGTGAATAATTTGTTTTGATTTTTAAAAATTTCTTCTAGTTTCATTCTGTTTCACCTTTCACCTTAGAAGATGCCATAAGTCTTTTAACTTTAGAAATTTTAGTTCCATGTGTTTCCTTTGGTTTATCTTTTTCTTGGACTTAGCCAAAACCGAGAGGGAAATTAATGTCTCTTGTCGTCATTATCTTATTGTCTGTGTCTTCTTGAATTTCGGATCATGTTTTTATTATTTATTTGGATGCATTTGGAACATATAAATTTATTACTGATATTGGTTTGTCGCCTATGGTTCCTTTCAGCATAATTTTATTTCATTATTTATCCCTTTTTTAGGGTTGGAGAGTACAGCTAGGTGGTGCGGTGGATAAAGTGCCAGGCCTAAAGTCAGGAAGACTCCTCTTCCTGAGTTCAAATCTGAACTCAGACACTTACTAGCTGTGTGACTCTGGGCAAGTCACTTAACCCTGTTTGTCTTAGTTTCCTCATTTGTAAAATGAGCTGGCAAAGGAAATGGCAAACCATTCCAATGTTTTTGCGAAGAAAATCCCAAATAGGGTCACAAAGAGTCAGGTATCACTAAAAAATGACTTTTATCCCTTTATAGCATGGCAATTCTTGGTTTTTTGTTTTTGTTTTTGTTTGTTTTTTTGCGAGGCAATTGGGGTTAAGTGACTTGCCATGGGTCACACAACTGTAAGTGTCAAGTGTCTGGTCTGAGACCTGATTTGAACTCGGGTATTCCTGACTCCAGGGCTGGTACTCTATCCATTGTGCCATCTAGCTGCCTCAATTCTTGTTTTTTTGGATTCACTTGATACATAGTAAAAAATTTTTTCCATCCCCTACAGTTTTATTTTGTGTATATGTCTTTGTTTTTTAAATGTTTCTTGTAAGCACCATATTGTAGGGTTTTGTTGTACACTGTCACTTTTGCATTTTATTGTGTTGTTTAATCCATTCACATTTAAAATTATGAGAACTTAGATTTATATTTTCTTCTGTCTGTAAAATTGTTTTTTAAAAAAATTATGTTCTTTTTCCTCTTTTGTTGTAAACACAGTATTATGTTCTTTCAGTTACTTTAATCTTATTTTAAGATGTCCTTGTTCCCACTGGCTTTCTTCCTTTCACCCTGATACCCTTTTCTCATTTGTTACCACTTTCCTTTTTAAGGTTTTGTTTATTAGTTCCTTTTTCTCTCTCATTTTTATCTGGCTGTATATTTCTTCCTCCTCTTTTTTTACCTCTCAGTCGAGTAGGCTCCTCTAACTTTTTAAATTAAAAAAAAATTAAATTTTATTTTTGTTCCCCTTTCTAAAAAGGATTTCTTTCATTTACTTCATTATCCCTTTTCTGTTTCTTTCTATTTAGACCCTTGTTATATGTTTCATGGATGCTTATAATTATTTGGTATCTTTTCACTATATTCTTTATGTGATCGAAGCTTACATGGTATCTATTCTAGGTTCTCTCCCTTCTCATTTCTGTCATTTCTTGGTAGGGCTTGCCCTCCAGATCCACCTTTTCCATTGTGCCTTACTCCCAGAACAATGCCATTATTGCTGCTGTCAGAGAAGATACTGCCCCATGCTAGGTCCCTTTCCAGCTTTCTGATTATGCAGCCCATCACGGATCTGTACTCTCCTCTTGTTACTGTTTTCCTTACATTTACCTCTAAATTTCCTCCTTATGTTCCTGCTGTCTCACTCCTCCAGGTGCCTGTTTACTATTCCCCTTCCAATGTTGGCCAAGTAAATTTTTCAAGCACTAATCCTTCAGGCTTCATTCAGTATAAAAGTCTTTATCTCCTTTACTGACTATCTCTATCCATGCTCATTCATTAATGGAACGCCCTCTCACATCCAGAATTAGGCCTTCTTCCTTTCTTCCACCTTTTCTATCTTTCCCCCCTTCTCGCTGACATACTTTTCTTTAGGCTTTTCTCTATCAGAGATCATAGCATTCACGTTCTCCTCATTGCTAGCCCTTGATTTGATCTCAGCACATTACCCAAATCTCTCTCTGCCCCTTCTCCCCTTCTCCTTTCATGTTGTAACATAGCCCCACAAAAAAGCATGAATTCACTTGTAAGCAGGGTGTCCCCAGGTTCTGTCTATAATGCCACCCATCTGCTTTTTCACTTTTACTTCTACCAGATTTCTGTCTTCACCCCTATTTCCTTGTGTACATTTAGACATGTCTCTTACTGGTCTCTGTGTTGTTACCCTGTTGCTGTTGCTGTCATTGAATGTGCATTTATTCATTCACTCCTGGTTTTTTGTTGTTTGGGCTTTTTGAGAACCAAATAATCTTTTTAGTTCTTGTTTTCTTACTCATAATGTTTCAAATTCATCTTTATTATTGAATATCCACCTTTCATCCTGTATGGTTAAACTCTTATTTGGGGAATAGTCGCCTTCAGCTGCGTTATGAGCTTTATTGCTCTTTGGAACACATTATTCTGTTACTTCTGTGTTTTTCTAGTGGGTGTAGAATAGGTTTACAGAATTTAAATATCCTTCCTTTGTATTTATTTGAAGGTCTTTGTCCTGGTGTTTTGCAGAACTTGTTTCTGAATTGAATTATTAATTTAAACTGCTATGTGTTTTCGAATTTGGAATCTTCGGGTTTTAAAAAAATTTTTCAAGAGGCAATCTGAATTATTTTAGTTGGTATTTTCATTTTTTGTTTTCAGAAGTTCCATTTTTATCTTCACTATGGTGTTAAAGTTTTTTTGCCCTATCTTGTTCTTCTGGGAAACCTAAGATCCTTATGTTGTCTTTACCCATCCTGTCTTTGAGATCAGTATGTTTGGCTTGCATGATGAATATATTTTCTTTTAATGTTATTATCTTTTGCTTTTCTTCTGTATTGTTCTTTAATTCTATGTATTTGCATTTCCAGTCTATTTTTCTCTGGTTTCTTTGGTGAGACTTGCCATTGTAGATTCCAGTTTTTCTGTTCTGACCATTATTTTTGTTGTGTGGGCCATAAATTCTGCTCTTGCAGTTTTCATTTTTCTTTTGAGAATCAGGAGTAGCATATTGTGGCATTCCATAGATCATTTTCCATATTTATTCGTAGTTGTCTGAACTCACTAGATGTGGAGGTCATTACTTCCTTCTGTTGTGACTGTTTTTTCTGTTGATTTATCTGTTTAAGTTCGAGGTCTTTGAGTTTTCCCCTCTATTCTTAAAATCTTTAGCAATTTCAGTCTTCCTTCCCTCCCTGCCCCACCCCCTCTTATTTTCCCTATCACTCTCTTCCTATCTCCCTCCCTTCTGATTGTGATTTCCTTGGGGACTGGATCTAAACACCTCAGTCTGCTACTATGCTGGGAAATTTATGGTCCACCAGCCTAGGTCTCTGCCCCAAGTGACTTTTGAGTAATAAGAACTGACCCCAGCTGGATGCTTTACAATCCCAATCCTGTCTCCTTCCTGGCCCCCCCCCCCAAGTTATCTGTCAACTGGCTGAGTGATCCTGGACAAGTCAGTGTAGGGGTCTTAGGCAGTTCTGCATTTCCTCATCTAGGAATTCCCTTCACAAATGAAATTAAAGGTTCAAACCCCATCCCTGTCCCATCTGTGAGAGATGATCTCTCAAAAGTGAAGCCTCCTCAGGGGATCAATAATTCTTGTTAATATTTCTTGATTGTTACTTTCAAAATCCTCCCCCGCTCAGACTCTCTTTTTAAGCATGTAACAGAAAAAATAAGCCCTGACCCCAGCCTGAACTGCTTGCCCTTAGCTTCCTGCCTTCTCTTGTTTCTGAGATGAAGGGGAAAGGGGTTGGGGAGGGGAGATTGCGGTGGATTTCGGTTTCCTAGGAATTACCTAACTCATGGGAATTTGACCCTAAACTCCCTCCTGATCATCACACCACTGCTAAGTCAGCATTAGGTTTACTAAATAAGGACGTGTATGTTTGGATTGGCTATACCCTGATTCCTTGTTCTTGTGTCTTTGAATTTTCTCACGGAGAATGAAAGCCTGCCTCCCAGTTAATGGGATAGGAAGATTTTTCGTGCCAAAATATAAGCCCGCCTCCCCAGCCTATGGGAGTAAAGGGATAGTGGTGGGTGGAGGTTCTCTTGCATTAGGGTATATAATCTCATTTTGCTTTCTGTGCCTCACCTCTCTCCTACTGGGAGACTACCAGAGGAGCAGATGCCGCTTCTTCCAAGATTGTAATAAAAAGTAACCTTTGCTTCCACCTTGAGAAGTCTCTGAGTTTAATTGATTTAGAATCGCTGCCCCGCACACATCTGTACCAGTATTATAGTTTCACTTCCAGCCCTAGAACACCAGTCTCAGAAAAATTTTAAATCTCACAGAGATAGCAGTACAGAGGTATATGATGAACATAAACAGGCAACATTTAAAATCAAGAACTATGAAGAAGAATCATGCTATCATGTAGTCATTTTCTTTCATGAAATTATCCGTTGTTCCTCTGATTTGTTCTTTATATTGCCAGTTCTTATGATGGT